GGGGTTGGGGATGGAGTCTAGGGCTTCACACATGCAAGGCAAGAGTTCTACCAAAGAGCTGTACTCCAAGCCCAAGTATCTTTAATTATTTTCATTAATTGATTTAAAAACATTACTATAAACCAACCAATTTTTTTTCTACAAATATGTTGAAGTTAATAGAAGTCTTTTCTCACCTAGTATTTTTTTTTTGGTTCTTTTCAAGATGATGTTTCTCTGTGTAGCCCTTGCTATCCTGGAATTCACTGTGTAGATCAGGCTGGCCTCGAACTCACAGAAATCCACCTGCCTCTGCCTCCGAAGTGCTGGGATTAAAGGCATGCGCCACCACTCCCTGGCCTCTCCTACTTCTTAATTCATTTCCACAGAGGAAAGAGAAAAACTGCTGGTATTCTTTGGTATGCATAACCTAGATTGTACACGTGTACACACACACACACACACACACACACACACACACACACACACACACACGCTATATTTAGGAAAAGGAAGAGGATAGGTGGGAGACAGGAAGAGAGACAGGAGAGGGCGACAAGAAGTTAAGTACAGATAAAATTTCTGATTTCATAATGAAACTCATCACTTTATAAAATGAGCATGCACTAATAAAAATAAACAAGGCTCTTGCAGTGGTGCACAGTTTTAATCCCAGCACTGAGGCAGAGGCCAGCAGATTGCTGTGAGTTCAAGGCCAGCCTGAGCTACATAGGGAGCTTTAGGCCAACGAAAGCTACCTACATAGTGAGACCCTGGATCAAAAAAAAGTTTGTATGGCCGGCTGGAGAGATTGCTCAGTGTTTAAGAGCATTTACTGCTATTCCAGAGGACCTAAGTACAGTTTTTAGCACCCACACATTAGCTATCTTCCAGTGCCTGCATTGGGCAGCTCATAACTGCCTGTAACTCCAGCTCTGGGGAATCCAAAGCCCTTTTATGGCTTCTTTGGGCACCTGGACACACGTGGCATACATACATTTACATGTATAAATAAATAAATAAATAAATAAATAAATAAATAAATAAATGTATAAATGAAGATGCTGGCCCCAAAGAGTTTGAGATATCATTACTCAGAGTGTGGTCTCCAGTATGGCACCATCAGGACAACTAGAGAAGTTGCTAGAAAGGCAGATTTTCTCTCACTCTACCTTAGACCTGTGCAAAGTCCAGTGGGGTCCAGTAGTCTGTGTTGTGATAAGCCCTTTAGTTGGCCTGAGAACCATTGTATTTTAGCAGATTGAGTCAGATCCTTTTGCAAGGGGACCTGAGGAAAATACTGTAGGGGAAAATTTATAACTCAAAAGGACTCCAGCTCAAGGTTTGTCAGCTGTCTGAGCCCACAGTGACTTCTGTATGGGTTTCAGTGATGGCCATTTTGTCATGGATTGGAGGCATTATCCAGGAGAGACCCAAATTTGAGCAATGTATGGGGAGAGTGCGCATCATGAATTAGGATTCCAGCACCCCATGTAAAAGCCAGGCATAGTGCATCTGTAACCTCAAAACTGGGGCGCTGAGACAGGTAGATTTCAGGGGCCCACTGGCTGGCCAATCTAGCCAAAATAACAAGCTCCAGTTTGAATGGAAGCCTCTGTCTCAAAAATAAGGTAGAAGAGCAATAGAGCAAAACACCCAAAATCTACCTCTGGCTTCCTCACACACATGTAACATGTGAAATATGCACACACATGTGCACACAAAGGCATACATTACACAGGAACCAGAAAACCACGAAAATGTAAATACAAAATAGAGAAGTGATCATAAAGAAAAATGGGGGGTGCTATTTTCAGGAAAACAGATAAAACTGGAGATCATTATGTTAAGTGAAATAAACCAGACTCAACAAACCAAAATACCATATGAAGACTCAATATCTAAAAAGAAGACAAATGAAAATTAGGGGGGACTGTCTGGGAAGATGAAGGGGACCAGCAGGAGAGGTGGTATCACTGTTGTGATAGAGAGGGTGCGTATGAGCAAAGCACTGTATGTATGTACAGGTATGAAAATTTCATAACAAAACCCATTATTTTGAACAATTAATACATGGTAATAAAAAGATCACATGGTAACAAGCTCAGGGGTACTTGTTGATTTAAAGGTTTTTTTTAATTCTTTTTTTATACGTAATTTATTTTATGGACATTGGTGTTTTGCCTGCATGTATGTCTGTATGAAGGTGTCAGATCTCTGAAAATGGAGCTACAGACAGTTATGAGCTGCCAACCCGGGTCCTCTGGAAGAGCAGCCAGTTCTCTTAACCACTGAGCCATCTCTCCAGGCCCTGTTTTTAAATTCTTAATCTTTGTATCCATGCATTCAGTTCCTTCCTCTAATGCCTGTATTCCATCCTTTACCAAATCTAGGAGGGGTTCTTTCTTTCTTTTTTTTTTTTTGACAAAGTGTTATTGTGTCACCCTGACTGCTCTAGAACTTAGTGCATAGCCCAGGCTGACCTCAAACTCACAGAGATCCTCTTGCCTCTGCCTCCCGAGTGCTGGGATTAAAGTTGTTCACTACCACACCTGGCCATTATATCTTTTTTAAATTATAAATAACATTTGTGACTTGTATACACTAGTGGGTTTTACATTTTCATATGTGCATATGACAAACTTGGATCATATTCATAGGGTCCTTATTAAATCATTCATTGCCCTGATACTGGGGAAAGGGCTTATCAGTGATCTTCCAGCCAGGCCGCTTGTGCATGCCTTTAATTCCAGCATTGGAGGCAGAGGCAGGAGGATCTCTGTGAGTTCTAGGACAGCCTGGTCTATACAAGTTCCAGGCCAGCCAGGGCCACATAGTGATATCCTGTCTCAAAAAATAAAACAACAACCAGAAAGGGAGTTGAAGAAATGGGCAGAGTTCATAAATAAGGATTGGTGGGGCAACTTCTGAGGGCTTGATTCAGTAATGTGTTCTCTGCAGACCAAGGACGCAGCTCTAGCCAACTCTTTTTTTTTTTTTTTTTTTTTTTTTTTTTTTTTTTTTTTTTTTTAAAAGAGAAAAGCCGAGAGGTCAGAGCTCAGAGATAAAATCTTACCTCCTGCCGTGCTCCTAGCTTCCCCGAGAGAGGGAGGTACTTCCTGTGTCCCTGTTTAAATAATCTTTCTGTTCTGCCTTCTCATTGGTTGTAAACCCAACCACATGACTGCCTCATCACTGCCTGTAAGTACCGCCCTCCAGGTCTTAAAGGCGTATGTCTCCAATACTGGCTGTATCCCTGAACACACAGAAATCTACCTATCTAGCCAACTCTTACGGGAGGGAGAAGGGTCAAATGACTTTTTGCTAAAGCTAATGACTAATGCTGTAATGTATATTAGTCCCATGTTCAGCAAGTCACTTGCTCATGACTTAGTTTCACCCATGATAGAGAACATTCATCAGCAAGTGTTCTTACTTTCAGGGATTAATCACATTAAAGGAAATGATAGTGAATGCAGATCTGTGGCTATTAATATTTGTATTAGAGTTGGGAGGGAGTTAGGTGGGCAGGCCCCAGTCCCATTAGAGAATTAACTAAATGTATAAAGTTCTACAGAAAAATCCTCATCAGTGTCTCATGTAATTTCTGGGAATTCACTTAGCTACCCCCCAATTTTTGCTCAAGCTTACTTATAGACAAAACCCTCAGACTTAAGATCTCCTGGATCACATGATTTTGAAGCTATATTTCAGTGCTTTTCAAAGTGTGGTCCATGGTCCATAGCATCAGAATTGCTCCAGGTGTTTGTTTAAGTAAGTAATAAGACAGGACTGGAGGTGAAAGCCTGCAATCCCAGCTACTTGGCATGCTGAGGCAGGGGAATCATGTGTTCAAGTTCTGCCTGAGCTATAGCTATCCTGTGAGTTTAAGGTTGAAGTAGGCAACTTAGTGAGCCTGTCTCAAAAAAATTTTCAAAAAGGGCCCAGTGCTTACTGAGAATGTGTGGGAGACCCTGGGTTCAACCTCCAGTACCGTCAAAAGGAAAACAAACAAAAAACCAAGTAACTTTGGAGGACAGACACAGGCCATTTATTTCAGAATCTCTGAGGCATCATGATAAACAACCACCACCACAAAAACAAAAACAAAAAAAAACAAAAAAAACCTTCCAAACCACCCAGAGAATTTTGTGTTTGTGTGTGTGTGTGTGTGTGTGTTTGTGTGTGTGTGTGTGTGTGTGTGTGTGTGTGTGTGTGTAGTGTAGTGTAGTGTAGTGTAGTGTAGTGTATTCTGGAAGCTAAATATTTGAGGGTTAATGTTTTATTCCAACTCTAGAGTTTTATGTTCGAATGTTTTCCTATGTTGGTTTAAGTTGTGTCTGTTTACTGTTCACTTGGCAAGTGTACAGAATACTGTTTAGTATGCACTCATTAGACAACCTTTGTTGTATATGCATAGAAAATATCGGGAAGTTTATGATTTTTGTAAACAGCATCTCTGGGTAGTAATGACAATGTTTTTTATTTTATTCTTGTTTTATTTCTCTCACCTTTTTCTTACTCTATTTAAAAATACGCTTCCTCTTTCTGGCTTCAATTTCCCCATCTGGGAAAGAGAGTGTTGTAACTTGGTGAGCTTGAATAGCAGGGTCTCTGATCTGGTGGTTATGACTTCATACTACCCCTTAGCTTCCCTGTCCACCAATAGGTAGCCTCCGTGCTTGGAGAATAATCGTGTTTTATTTTTGCATATATTTATCTTCAGATACCCAGCAACCGTTTTGATGCCAGAAGAAGGATTCGGCTTGTTCTCAAGGTTCAGGAACAGAAATAACCCACTATCTACAAACCTCAAAAGTTCCTCTTCTTCTGTTAGTCTTAAAAAACGCCCTCCGCGCCTATCTCTTCCTAGTGTTGTAATGGTTGTGAACCAAAAAGCCAGGGCGTGGCCACCCCGCCCTCCCGCCCGGATATCACCGCCCCTCGCACTGCTTGGGAGCGTGGTGATTGGCTGAAAGGAAGAAAGAGCCCCGCCCCCGGTCTTATGACTGGAGCTGAAGCGGCGACTCCAGGCTTTCGCGGTGCTCTCTGTGGTCGGTGGTGACCTGTGCTCTCGCTTTCCCAGGGTCCGCAAGGGTGTTCTCTGGCGTTGCCGGTCAGGTCGTCGCCTGCCCTGCGGGATCAGGATGCGCTTCCGCCTCACTCGGGTTTCGGGCGCGGGGCTCGTCCTGTTTTGTCTGCTCCTGGGTGAGTTTTCGGGCCCTCTCCCTCCGTGTCTTCAGCTGGGCCCGAGGGATGGGAGGGGGTGTTCAGAGGCCACAACCTGAAAGACTGGTCTTGGGGAGGGGTTGAGAGACTGAGCAGCTGACACTGGGCGGCGGCGGTGGCGGCCCCAGGCGTGGCGCGGGGCGGACGGGGGGGGGGGAGAACTTGAGCAGTGACCTAGAGAAGGCCTGGCTAAGGGATGGCGGGCTAGGAGGGCCCTTGAGAGTAACAACCGGGCAAGTAAGGGGATGTGGAGGACAGCACCCGCTTAGACAAGACGACTGAGCAGTTCGAGCGAGACACCTGGGGTAGAGGGAGCAACTTGGAAGAGTGTGGGGGAGCAGGGGAGCAGACCCTGGGGAGTCTTGGTTACTTGGGTCAGGGAAGAATTTTGAAGATGGTGGAAAAACTATATAGAGTGAGGGAGGAAATTGGGAACGGAAGACGCTGTACCCCTGTGAAATGGGTGGGGGCCAGAGGACGGGGGTTAGATCGGACGGTAGGGCCTAAGGGGCAGAGACGGCGTTGGGGGCTTTGTAGGTGGGATTTGAGTCTAGGAGAAAAGGTGATGAGGAATGGAGCGGGGTTTGAGTGTGTTCTTGGAGTTTCGAAAACAAAGCGATCTAAGGTAACTGGACTAAGTTACTGGAAAGACCCAGCCTCTGGAGACTAAAGGGATGAGTGAGAACTTAGAAGGGGACCGAATATCTGACGTGGAGATGTTCAGAATCTCACGTTTGTTTGTTTGTTTGTTTGCTTTTGTTCTTGTTTTTTTTTTTTTTGTTTGTTTCTTTTCCCTGTAACTTTTTGCTACTTCCTCCCAGCCAGCTTCCGACAGAAAAATCCCAACTAGATGCTAAAGTGAGGGAGCTTCCAAGATGGTATTTGTGTATCTGACTTTTGGAAACTACTTCTTTTTCATCACAGTCTTTTGTTTGTTTTTTTTTTTTCTCCTTTCCCAGCATAGTCGGCTTATTCGTGATTTAAAAGTGGGAGGTAATAGCCTAAGGATTGGCTTGTGCCTAGGTGGAGTAAATGGGTTGAGGTTGGTTGGTTGTGATCCACCCCGATAGACTGTCTGTAACAGGCTAAACTTGAACTTTGAACACAGTGAGTCCTGCTGACCTGATTTATTCTGCTTGTTGTTACCTAGTGGCCCTTGCTGTTTGTACTTTAATAAAGGGATAGAAGGAAAAGACCCAGATTAGAATGGGGTGGAGATAGGTAGATTGGGGGATATTGGGAAGGCAAAGAATTGCATTTATAATTCACAATTCAGTGGAGTAGAACAGTGTGTTTTCTCTCACCCAGTGGGCATTTGGTAATATCTTGTAGAGGCATTTAAAAATTTTTCCATAATAGCTTTTGAGGGTTTTTTTTGACATTATATTGAGAGTACATTTTTCTCTTCCTTTACCCCCTCTAAATCCTCCCATATGTCCCCCCCTGCTCTCCTTCATATTCATGACCTCTTTTTTCACCTATATAGTATTTGTATATACATCTATATCCTAGAGGCATTTTTGCTGTCCCACTGGGTGGCTTCTAGTGAATAGAGGCCAGGGATCCTACTAATCTGCCTGCAAGAACAGGACAGCCACTCTCAAAGAGTTGTCTCCAGCCGGGCGTGGTGGCACAGGCCTTTAATCCCAGCACTTGGGAGAGAGAGGCAGGCCGATCTCTGAACTCGAGGCCAGCCTGGTCTACAGAGTGAGTTCCAGGATCAGTAGGACTGTTACACAGAGAAAACTAAAAAAAAAAGTTAGCTCCTTCAACACTAGCAGTGCCAGGTGTGAGGAGCCCAAGCTTCTGAGCATCGAGTTTGATGAGTTTATCCAGTAACTCGAAAGAACCTTGCTAGAGAGCCTGTGCATTCAAAACTTTCCCTAATAGTACTAAGATTGTTCTCCTTTTCACTCTCAGCCTTTTGCTTATATACAGTAGAATTTTCCAGAAGCTACATAATATGTGGTGATATCATCACCCTGATGACTCCAGTGTTCTTACTACTTATTTATTTCTCAACTTTCATTTCTAATACAGAAGTGCCAGCAAATATAATTCACTTAAGCAAACCAAAACTCTGTGAGGTCTTCTGTAGACATTCTGACTCTAAAACATTTGCAGGTCCTTGATCTGATCTAGCTGACCACATTGTGTAAGCAACTCCTCCTATAACACTTCTGAAATTGGGCCATGAGCATTGGCATGAACACTTAATTCTAACCCTTACCTGGGGAGCATTTGCTGAGGGCTGGCTGACCCCATGAGAGGCTTGTTTACAGTGGAAAACACCTTATCAGTGACAAGAACACATCTGACAGAGGCACCTATTAACCAGTAATTCCCTGCCAATTGAATCTGCACAAACACAACGCTGTTATTGTTCAGAGAAACTGAGAAGAATAGTTGACCTACATGTTGGCTTTTGTGCCGTTAATTTTTTTTTTGGAATCTTTTGTTTTTCGTTTACAAAAGCAGTGCTTACTAACTGTAGAAAGTAAACAGGCGAAACTTAATACATAGAAGAAATGCTCAAACCTAGTGAATCTGGAGTTACTAGATTCATCCTTTTGGATGGTTTCAAAAGCTGACTCCTTCCATTCACAAATTCAGAAAGGGATCTACAGGAGCAACATTTAACAGTTGCTGTTATATTCAGGGTTAATTTTTTTTATGTATGTATTTTTATTTTATGTAATGTGTTTTGTTTGTCTGCATGTCTGTATATGACATGTGTACCTGGTACCTGTGGTGATTTGAAGAGGGCAGCACTTTTGTACCCTAGAACTGCAGTTTTCATAGACAGTTGTAACTTGTGGCGTGTGTACTGGGAACCAAATCTGGGTTCTCTGGAAGAGTGACCACTGAGCCACCTCTCCAGCCCGGAATCCAGTTTTTAAGTGTAGCTGAGGTCAGGCGGTGGTGGCACAAGCTTTTAATCCCAGCGCTCAGGAGGCAGAGGCAGATGGATCTCTGGGTGAGGCCAGCTTGGTCTACAGAGTGAGTTCCAGGACAGCCAGAGCTGTTACACAAAGAAACTCTGTCTTGAAGTCCCCCAAACCCCCCAAAAAAGTCTTCACAGCTGTTCTTTCAGACATCTCTTGATTTTGCTGTGAGGCTCAAGATTCTGTGTGCCTTATACTCCTAAGAATTTAGCAAGCCACGGTCGGGTGGTTGGTGGTGCACGCCTTTAATCCCAGCACTCGGGAGGCAGAGGCAGGCCGATCTCTGTGAATTCGAGGCCAGCATGGTCTACAGAGTGAGTTCCAGGACGGCTTGGACTGTAACACAGAGAAACCCTGTCTCAGAAAACTAGAAGAAAAAAAATCTACAAGTCTGGGCCTATACCTTGATGGTAGAGCACTTGCACAACATGTATGAGGCCCTAGGCCAGCATCGTGGAAAAGGAAGACCAAAATCCTTGCTTTAAAGTAAGTATAGAAAATATTCTTAGACTTTACATTAGTGTTTTTCACAGAAATTTATTCATTTATTTGATTTGTTTGAGTGCTGGGATTAAAGGCATGTGCCACCACTTCTCACAGAAAACTTTTTGCTGGCTTTCATTTGAATGAATTATAACCAATGAAAGACCATGTTGAAAAAAAGGTCTATGAGTTAGAAACATGAAAAGGGCAACAGATGAAATTCCTTTCCTAACATCATTGCTTAATTGTGTTTCCTTAGTGACAGAATTCTGTGGTCATCAATTTTTATAACTAGCTTAACTTCTATTTTTGGTTTTTCGAGACAGGAATTCTCTATGTAGCTTTGGCTGTTATGGAACTTGTTTTGTAGACCAGGCTGGCCTGGAACCCACAGAGATCCACCTGCCTCTGCCTCCTGAGTGCTGGGATTAAAGGCATGTGTTACCACACCCGGCTTAACTTCTGTTTTTTAAAGGGTTGAATGAGACTTTTAAAAAACCTTTGAGGCTCCTCTTAGAGGTAAAAAACCCTTTGATAACTCTCCTGAATGTAGTTCATGTTGGGGGCTACTCTCTCCCACAGATGTTTATTAACTGCCTATTATAGTCTAACCACTCAACCACACGCAAGGGAGACAGCAATGGACAAGACAGTGGAGGCTCTGCTGTCCTAGAACCTACATTTTAGAGGTGGAAGATAGCCCAACAGGTAAATAATAACATTTTCAGATAGTGAAAAGGACCATAGCAGAGAGGAAGCCGATAATGAGGAATGAATGAATAGGTGAGATAGTTGGCTGGCGGGATGACCTGTGTGTTTATATTATGTGGTCATAGGGCTTCCTAGGGTTGAGTGAGTGACATTTGGGTGGAGACCTTGGTGCTTTAAGGAGGTCTGCCCTACCTATAACTATTTGGGGTAATATGGGTGGGGAGGGTAAGGGAGGAGTTGGAAGGGGAAACCATGATCAGACTATATTATGAATTTTCAATAAAGATAAATACAAAAGAAATTACTTAAGCTAAAAAAAGAATAAAAGAATAAATCTTATCTCCCAAACTCTTAGATATACTTGCCTATTTTCTGTTCTTTACCTTACGGTATTTGTCTCTGAGAGGATGGGGTGACCTTAGCTGCTGGTCTTTCCCATGGTCTATGTAGTACCAGGCTTAGTGGTTAAAGGCCAGTAAATTTTTGCTGGGGCTATTCATTGGGATTGTAGGTAAAATGATGAACTAGACCAAACGTGGTCTCTGTTTTCTGTGGACAATAAAGGATGTTTTCAAAAAGCTCTTTTGTGTCTTTGGATCAAGAACTTCCAAATCAGTGTAAGAGTGCAGATAAGTATAGGATAATCTCATGGTAATTGTACTCTTTCCTACTTGTGCTTCTTTGGGGGGGGGAGGGTTAGGAGTGGACAGGGTCTTACTGTATAGCCCTGGAACTCTCTATGTAAACCAGACTGACCTCAAACTTAAGAGATCCACCTACCTCTACCTCCTTAGTGCAGGGATTTAAGGCATGCACCATTACATCTAGCACTGGAAATCTGCCTGCTTAGGCATGAGGATTAATGTGGAGAACTAGAAGGACTTGGTGAGAATTAGGTTTTCTCAGACCACCAGCATCTGTCTCTCCTTTTGGAGAGCATCTGAAAGACTTGTTGTTGTTTATTTTTTCTGCAGCCTTAGCACATTTTGTTTAACTGATAACTTTGAATTCATGATTCAATAAAAATTTATCTATATATAGTAGAGACATTTGAAAGGACAGGCTTGACATTAATCCATTAGTCATTGGTTATCATATCTGATAGGGTAATGATATTCAAATATATTCCTGTGTATCTAGCCTTCTTTCCCTGTAATGTGTGTTGGGACTTTTGTCTGTAACCCAGCATTATTTCACAGCATTGGAGGTAACTTCTGTGACCCTGGTTCAGAAAGGCTGTACTTCCTTATCATAGTTTTGTGCTAAAGTGGCCAGAGATCCTTCAATTCCAAGAGTGTTTTTTATAAGTACTTGTTGGTATCCCGCTGTGCATTGCACAAGAACTCTGGAGGCCTGCCAAATGCGGCTCAGCAATAGCATTTTTCCATTACTTCAGTAGAGTCATCTCATTTTCTTACCTACTCTCTGACCTTAAAAAAATCAAGGAAAGCATTACATGGTGTAGAATAGTATGTTTTATTAATTTTAAGTGTTACTTTTCATATGACCAACATTCATAGCTTAAGACCTTATTGTTTTCTGTTGTAGCAGATGTAACAAAAAGACAAATGTGAATGAGTCACAGGTAAACATGAGAACAGCTAATTGGATGTAAACTTACAGGAAGGCCATCATTAAACAGAGAAGAAAGAGTATTTGCCTTTATGCCCTACTTTTTTTTTTAGTGGTCTCATTCCTTAGCCCAGGCTTGCCTGAAACTTACTGTGTAGCCTGGGCTGGCGTAGAATTCATGGCAGTCCTCCTGCCTCAGTCTCCTGGTGCTGGGATTTCAGGTATGCCCTGTTTTGTAAAGAGAGAGGGGGGGAAGAGGGGAGAGGGGAGGAGAGGGGAGAGGGGGAGAGGTTGTTCGTATGTAAAATGAATATAACATTTCTTAATAAAGAAAAATAAATAAAGCTATGCAAAAGTGTCCTAAAACA